CTTGTTAGCAAGTAACCGTTGAAAGCTGTTGCAAAAAACATCGATTTCGTCTGGTATTAGCAATCAGTCCACGCTGTCACTTCCGTCCAAAACTATGGTCGGTTGTAGTACCTGTGGATCTAGTCTTTACAGCTGCAGTTCAAAAGAGAAAAAAAGAAAAGAAAAAAAAAGTTATCAGAGCAAAGTTTGCTACAAGTGCAGGTCTGCAAAGAGCCCTTCCCCCCGAGCGTGGTTTTAACGAAGAGTCATTCCACAACAGCCCACTCTGCTACAGGTCCTGCAGCACACCAGTTAATGTTCCCTCGTTAAGCGCCTCTAGGAAGCAGACTCGAAATTTTGAAAATAGAAATTAAAGAGAAGTGAACGTCATGTCTGTCAAAGCAACATAGGCATATAAGTGAATAAGCCAGTGTCAGCAACATGTCTTTGTCGTAAGCGTCAAGTGTTTAATACTAAAGAAGTCTCCTAGTGTGGCACCGCCGCATCGTTGCAAAGTATCAGGTCTTGATCAACAAGCCTGAGGTGGAAACCAAATGGCCATCCCAGTGCATGGCTCGAATGCGGACATGTGGCCTTCCGCAAGCATCACTGGTGCCAGCGGAGGGGGATGAAACGGTGCCACACTGGGTGACGGGCCAGAACTTACTGCTGGCCCGTCCATCCTGAGTTTAGTGTTGGACCGTCTCCGTGCAAGCTTCGAAAGAGGGGGGGGGGTGAAGGGGAGAGGTGGACGCCAGGGTGAGTATCAAACTATCAAAATTTCTTTTCCCTCTGCACTTTTCTTGTGAGGAGTCAATCTACCTGATTGTTATTCTACCTTCTAAAGGGGGGGGGGGGAAGGGAGAGCTAACCTTGCATGCCTAAGCTTACCTTCGTTGCTTGGAGACTTTTTCTTCTTTCTATTTAAATATATATTTTATTGCTTGTTGATTCATTGCTACTCACTTTACTTTATCCTTTTTTTTTGTAAGATTTTTACATTCCTGTTATGGGCCCGCCAGCGGGAACAAATATATAATATTCAAACTTAACAATAACAAATAAATAAATAAGATGGAGCGACAAGACAAAACGAACAGAGGGGGCGAGAGCTGTTCGTGCCCCGTCGGCGCTCCCTGTCTGTCTGTCTGTCTGTCTGTGTCCCATGTCAGGTACGGCGACCAGGACGGTGTCTGCCAGCCAGACCATTTCGGTCAGTTGCCTCACACTCCCTCCATTTCCTTTCTCTTTCATCCCTTTGGTTCTGATCCGCTAAGAAGACAAGGGAAAGGGAGCGGAAGGAAAGGGAAGCACCAGTGCAAATGCAGCATCATGAACACTCAAGGCTTGTTGGTCCTAAAATTCTTCCGTTTTAGTGTCTTGGCTTTTCGAGGATCCCTCAGTGCTTGCCCCTGAGCTGCTTAAGGGAGCCTTCGGCTCCGTGAGTCGAGCGCCTCTCGCCGACCTGTGACTGTAGTCTGTTTTTATTTCGACCTCAGAAAGTGACATTTCGACACATCAAATGGTTTGCACTTGATCGGCGTCGGCACACGGCGTTGGGAATTTAGACGATCCTGGTTCGATCTCTCGACAAACTCGTCCTTTCTCGTCTCATGTCGGGTCCGTCCAGTTCCCTGCGTCGTGTCAACAAAGTATGTCAGTCACACGTCGGGTCTCCTACCTGTCCCCCTCCAGCCAAACCTCAAGGGCTATAGGTGACCCAGCATTGTCTAGAAATGAGGGCACCGACTGGGCCGAGTCTCGGATGGAGGTGCGCCCTCTGAGCGCGTCGTGACATGTCTGAAGGATTTTCAAATAGTCAAGGACAGTTTGGCAATTAGTATGAACTTTTCGCAACAACAGTCCGAACTTGAAAAATACTGCATACGATAGGTCTGTCTCTCAGAATCGTCTGGTCTATTTTTTCCATGAAGAAAACAAGAAAATACAGAATAAAAGAAAATGGTGAAGCTGTCATCGTCTTCCCCAAAAGTCTTCGTCAGACCAAGTCAATGCCTCTTATATTGGGAGCTTTGAGCCCCACTGATTTTTAAAGTGCCGGAGTAACGGCATCTCACATAAATATTTAACTAACTGTTCCACCCACGGCACGCGGCTGCCGGCCATTTCACTCCCGTGCCCTGTCCCGCCGCCGCTCCCTCGCCCGGGCCAGCGTCGAGCACGAGGAAGGACGGTGAAATGGCCGCGGGCGCAAGAAGACGAAGGGGAGAGAGTCGGTCGGGAAGGAGGAGGGGGGGGATGGGACAGAAACAGGAGGGGGTGGAAGGCTTAGACGTCATTGCAGTCGCTGAAGATCTCCCTGCAGTTCTCTCCGACGCGGCCGCGGCGTCCGGCGTCGTTGTAGATCTCGAAGGGCGTGTAGGTGGTGCGCTCCAGCAGGTAGCTCATTCCATATCTGCGGGAGGAGTGCGTGAGAGCTTGGCAAAAGCACAAGAAATAGTAGATGGAACAAGTGTAGGAAGGCAAAAATGGATGGGCATTGGGTGTGTGTGGAAATACT